AGGCTTGGGGAAAGACTTATTGTCCTTAAACGAAAAGCATGAAAAAGTCTAAGAAAAGAAGCTTCTAGATTCTAGGCATTATATTTAGACCACTGTTGGTCCAAGTAACATTTTCCAAGCCAATAGTGGTCTGAATATGATGCGTAGTATAATTTTTTATTTCCCCTTGACACCTCAAACTATGTTCGATTCTTTGTACTCTTAATTGAACAACAAGATCTATAGTGATTGAGTACCCTAGAACCTATACTTAAAACTAACAATAACAATCTAACGAGTTTGTGCTTTTGTAACGACCTAGCATAACTATAAAGTTAATAATCTCAACTTCATGCATTTGAGGTTTTTCAGTGATGTTACTTTGTGTCACGAAAAACCAATTTCAAGTGTCTAATTGATGGTACCAGAGTTATGGGCAACTATAGTGGTGCATTGCACGCACTTGGCTTTAGTAGAAATAAAATCGAGGCTCGGGAAAGCCTAGTTGTCTTCAAAAGAATAGAATAAAAAAGTCTAAGAAGAGAAGCTTCTAGATTCTAGGCACTATATTCAGACCATTGTTGGTTCAAATAACACTTCTAGACCAATAGTGGTTCGAATATGATGTGTAGTATACTTTTTTTTTCCTTCACACCTCAAACTATGCCCGATTCATTGTACTCTCACTTGAATAACAAGATCTAAAGGGATTGAATACCCCTAAACCTATACTTAAAACTAACAATAACAACCCAATGGGTTTGTGGTTTTGTAATGACGTGGCATATTTGTAAAGTTAATAGTCTCAACTCCACACATTTGAGGTCTTTCAATGATGTTGCCTTACATTACGGAAAACCAATTTTAGGTGCTTAACTGATGGTATCGATGTTATGGGCGACTATAGTGGTGCAATGTGTGCACTTGGCTTTGGTAGAAATGGAATCGATGCTTAGGAAAGCCTCGTTGTCCTTAAACGAAAAGAATGAAAAAGCTTGAGAAGAGAAGCTCTAGATTATAGGCACTATATTCAGACCATTGTTGCTCCGAATAAGATTTCCAAATCAATAGTGGTCCGAATATGATGAGCAGTATACTTTTTTTTTTTATTCTTAACACCTCAAACCATGCCCAATTCGTTGTACTCTCACTTGGACAACAAGATCTTAAGGGCTTGAATAGCTAGAAACTATACTTAAAACTAACAATATTAAACCCACATGTTTTTGGTTATGGTAGAATCAAAATTGTGTCTTGAGAGAGTTATGCTGTCCTTAAATGAAAAAATTAAGAAGTGTGAAAGTCTATTGTTTCCATTATGTTCGGACCACTGTTGGTCCAAATAACATTTCCAAACCAACAATGGTTTGAATATGATGCATAATATACTTCTTTTTTCTTTGACACCTCAAATTGTGCCTGATTCATTGTATTCTCACTTGACCAACAAGATCTTAAGGGCTTGAATACCCTAGAAACTATACTTAAAACTAATAATATTGAACCTACAAGTTTTTGGTTATGGTAGAATCAAAATTGTGTCTTGAGAGAGTTATGCTGTCCTTAAATGAAAAAATTAAGAAGTGTGAAAGTCTATTGTTTCCATTATGTTTAGACCACTTTTGGTCCAAATAACATTTCCAAACCAACAATGGTTTGAATATGATGCATAATATACTTTGTTTTTCTTTGACACCTTAAATTGCTGATTCATTGTATTCTCACTTGAACAATAAGATCTTAAGGGCTTGAATACCCCAGAAACTATACTTAAAACTAATAATATTGAACCTACAAGTTTTTGGTTTTGGTAGAATCAAAATTGTATCTTGAGAGAGTTATGTTGTCCTTAAATGAAAAAATTAAGTATGAAAGTATATTGTTTCCATTATATTCTGACCATTATTGGTCCGAATAAGTTTATTGGGATCATAATTGGTTTGAATACATGGCGAGTTGTATTGCTCAACCTCACACCCAAAAAATGAAAGTAGGGAATCTTAACACCATGAAAATAATTTCAACTCGAAGATGGTCTGGTTAATTTTTCAAGAAAATATGTGGTCAAGAATCATTTTCCAGTCGATAGAAATGCAAAGATTTCTCATCTTGGCGCCATGAAAAAAAGGGAAAAAAAATCAGCAGAGTTATAAAGGGCGTGTGGTTATGGCCAAGTATAAAGGCTATTTAATTTCTTGAAATTATTATTATTATTATTGTTATTTTAAGAAAATATGAAAGTTTCTTTAGAATAAATCATGCTATGAAGTGGACAACCAAGAAAGACAAATATGCTAGAACAAAGAGATAATCATGGCTAGTTTATAACAATATTATCTCATTATTTATATATATAAGTTTAACATCTTATTTATGAGGCTTACTAATGTGGTGTCCTAGGAGCAGTAGCACCATTGGCAGAGGGAGCTGTCATGCCAAGCTGTTGGTACAACAATTGTAAATTTTCAATTAAAGACAAATTTGACACTTGTATAGCAACAAACTCAGCCTGGGATGCCTGGAGCTCAGCTGTAGTTCTTTGTAACTCATCTTTCAGTGATTAAATAGTTCGTTGTAACTCCTCAACTTGGGAAGAGTGCTGCATTATTGGTGGCCTTAAAGGCTCCCACCTAGATGTACTGACACCTACATCATGTGGATAGGTATGGCTATCAAAACTTTTTAACCATCCCCTTTTCACCACACCAGTTGCTCTAGTTAATAGGTCACCATGGATTTGTGTTGGGTCAAATCCTTCTTCCCGTTCTCTAGTTGCATACTCAAATGCTAATTTTTCCTAAAATCATATAAAAACCAAAAAAAAAAAGTTAATATGAATATGGAAAAATCTATAATAGTCATGATAATAATATAAATATCTAATTATGTCATATGTAAAAATTTCAATAAATGAAATGTAAATCCCAACAAAAAATTGTAAAAGTTAAAAATTTATAAGTTATTTAATATTTAGTAGAAATTTAGTTTAATTCCATAATCTCCCTTAAAAGTTAAACTTTTACCCTGTTATCAAATAATACAATATATTAGATACTAAAACATCAATGATTTTAATTAATTCATATTGAAATTTCAAAAAATTCGACAGAATCACCTCTAAAAATTGGCCTTTTACCAATATAATACACACACCTACATTCAACATAACTACGTTTCGACACACACCCACATTCAAATACATGAGTTATTCGATATTTAGTAGAAATTTAGTTTAATTCCATAATATCCCTTAAAAGTTAGATTTTTACCATGTTATCAAATAATACAATATATTAGATAACTAAAACATCAATAATTTTGATTAATTCATACTGAAATTTTAAAAAATTCAACAGAGACACCTCTAAAAATTGGCCTTTTACCAACATAATACACACACCTACATTCAACATAATGATGTTTCAATTCACACCCACATTCAAATTTATGAGTTATTGGGTGTTTATTATAAATTTAGTTTAATTCCATAATCTCCCTTAAAAGTTAGACTTTTACCATGTTATCAAATAATACAATATATTAGATACTAGAACATTATTAATTTTGATTAATTCCAACTGAAATTTTAAAAAATTCGGTAGAATCACCTCTAAAAACTAGCCTTTTACCAACAAAATACATACATCCACATTCAACATAATTTGCATTATAACACTATTCAAAACTATGTTTTCTTTATTCTAAAACAAACAAAATATCAAAGTAAAGAATGATGGGATTCTTGTAAACATTAAGAAAGGAGGATTGCTTAAATTTTGGCTCCTTGTTGAATGTGAAACCAATGTGGTTTGAATCATGGACAAAATTCACCACTATCACCAAAACCTTAAATATTCTTATTCCTACCCTTGATTCCCCAATTAAATCATATCTGTTTTTATGAAAATCTTGAAATCTAACAATATTTTTCGAAGTCAGAAATGGAAATTCATTTCCAGCAACAAAATTCAATAATTTCGAGTAGCAAAGGTGCCAAATTGAAGAGAAGAAACAAGAGCAATAATAATCAGTTTGTTAGGTAAGATGACTAATAACACTATTTAAAACTAACTTTAATATGTCAATAAATAATTTCAAATTCTATATTTCATATTATTAAATACTTACACTAATTTCCCTAGCCTCATCATTGTAGTATGTGGACAGCTGGTCTTTTCCTTTTAGTTGATGCTACTTGCTTCTTGTATACACCTCTAGGAATGAGGGTGGATAACCCATTGGATTGGCACTTTTTTGTAATAGAAAAATTTACAAATTTTAAGACAAATATATATTAATATAAAAATATTGCTAATAAACTTTAAAAAACATGGTTAACTTTTACACCATTTTATTTCTATATTTAGTAACATCCATAAACCCACTGGTGTGTGTGACCTTTGGGCCTTTGGCTCGATTTGCCTTTCCAACATTAGACCATGTAATATGGTCTTCATCCTGAAAAATTGATGAAAATATTTTCATATGATATTAAAATAATTAAGCATTGTTATTGCCAATATTTAAAAATTTTAACACAATACTCAATCTGTTATGCCCCAGAACCTAAATCCGAGGACGTGGCAGACGCCGTACACTTGTGAGAGGGTCTCACAAATGCACAAGGCTTTGAACTTATCATACCACAATCTAATACTACAAAATTTGAAGATAAAATTTTAAAATTTGCCCTGATATCATAAAATCTCCAAATAAAGTCTAGCTTACAAGATCATAATTTATATCTAAAATCTATGTTCAATTTACAAGATGGCTAGCCTTCTAACTCGACACTCCCCTCGTTTTTCCCTATCCTTGACTTTGCTTCCTAAAATGGTGGACAAAGAAAAATTATGAGATAACTGAGTAAGTAAATATGGATAACCCTTGGGTAAAATTTTTAGCATGTCTGATAAACAGTTTAACATAACAAAACGTTCAATGATAAACCATTAATACAGAATCAGATTCAGTTCAATAACAAAGCGTTCAATGACAAACCGTTAATGCAGAAGAAAATTCAGCAGTAGTCTCATCTATTAGTCATGGCCAGTGTTTAACAAACTCCCACTGGCAATCGTTAGTAATAACCAGTGTTTAACAACTCCCACTGGTAGGCGTTAGTAATAACCAGTGTTTAACAAACACCCACTGGTAGGCGTCAGTAATTACCAATGTATTCGCCCATTGGCAGGCGTCAATAATAACCAATGTATCATCCCATTGGAAGGATTACAGAATGAACCGGTCATATTAGTAAACATGTCGACATGTGCCAACGTTTGCAAACTCCCACTGGCGGGCATCAGTCATCAGTAATCATGACAATATCAGAGACAAAACCATGCAGGATTTTCAAAAAAATCCGTAATTCATAATCAATCTTAAATTTCAAAAATAAATCGAAAAATTTCCATCTAAGCATGGATTTAACAAAAAAACTTAGAATTTACAAAATTTTCAGTTCATCAAGGAAGTTCAGTCAATTCCAAGTAGGCATACTGTCACGCCCCAGAACCCAAATCCAGGGACGTGGTAGACGTCGTGCACTCGTGAGACGGGTCCCACAAGTGCACAAGGCTCGGAACTTATTCAAATCACAAACTAATACCATCAAAATCTAAAGATCAAATTATAAAATCTCTCTGATATCATAAATCTCCAAATACAAGATCATGATTTATTTCTAAATCTATGCTCAATCTCGAAATGGCTAGTCTTCTAACTCGTCACTTCCCGTGGTTTCCCCGTCCTCGCTTTCACTGCCTGAAATGGTGGACAAGGAAAACTATGAGATAAACTCAGTAAGTAAATATGGATAGCCCTTGGGTAAAACTTTGAAGCATGCCAGATAAACCATGTAAGCGTAACAGACTTTTAATGATAAACCATTAATGCGGAAATCGAATTCAGTTCAATAACAAAACGTTTCATGACAAACCGTTACATGCAGAAGAAAACTCAGTTCAGTAGTCTCATCTATAAGTCATGGCCAGTGTTTACAAACTCCCACTGGCAGGCGTCAGTAATG